ATAATGTAGAAAATCATAGATAATTTGTATAATATATAATTAATTGTATGAAATTTATTTTTACTATGTATAAATCAGATACAAAATATACAAAAGAAATATTGTATAAATTTTGTATGTAAGTTTTATGTTATTGTAGTTGTATTTTACTGGGTGGCAATAATGTGTGAAAGTTGTAGAAAATTGTAGATAAGTTGTATTCTTCTATAACGGGAGATGTTGGCATGTCAAGTAACTTTAGTGTTCCAGACGAACATGCATGAAAATAAAGATAAATTCTGTTATGAACAGTTTGTAGAAATTTTGTAGATAATTTGAAGAAACATTGAAATTCTGTATTTTCATATTAATTTTTCAAATGATATGTAGTTTTGTTGTAGATTAAATGTAGGAAACAAACCATTGTGAGTCTTATTTGACTCATTCCTCACATTCAACCTATTCTACAAATTCACTCCCATTTAAATACAATACAACCATACTTTCTTGAATTTAAAGGTATAGCAATATATATAACTTAAAAAACATCTTCTCCTCTGCACAAGTTAGCTCCAAAACAGACGAAGTGGAATAACAAGCTCCCATCAAAACTTTTAATACAAAAACACAAAGCTCAAAAATAAATAAACAACAGTCTACAATTTTTCTACAATTTCTGCAATATAATGTATGTCATGTCTTCTTCTTCTTCTTCTTCGAGTTTCAATCTGAAATTCAGCAAAATCAAGTCTAATCTTCACCAAAACCCCTCAAAATTGAGATATAAACTCCAAACCATATTCTCAATTATTTACAACAAAACCCAATCCAAACAAATAATGATTTTTGAAACCAAAATTTGAATTCAAAGCTTCAAAGCTTTTTAATGGCTGTCAATGGTGGAATTGCTACTCTCTTTTCCTTTCCTCTTATATTACTGAAATTTGGGATTGCGAGATAGAGAGAGACGTAGAGAGAATTCTCAATTCTTTGCAACAACATCCAATCCAAACAACAATGTCTTTTGAAAACCCAAATTCGAATTCAAAGCTTCAAAGCTTTTTAATGGTTGTCAATGGTGGAGGGGTTACAAATTTTCGCTGGTTTTAGAAGAGGAAATCGTGGGTGTTTCAAGAGGAAATCGTGGGGATTTGGAGAGAGAAACTTGGGGGGAGTGGGAATATACGCTTGAGTAAAATTAGGATCCTAATTAATACCATTAAAATCCTAAAATGATACATAAATGGTAATTAGGTATATAGAAGGTAATTATATTAAAAGTTAAGCATGAAGGGTAATATAGTTTACTATATGGCATAGGAATGTAAAAATTCCTATTTTTAAACCTTTTCCAATAGTTTAGGGGCATTTTGAACCTTTTTCCGTTGAAAAAAAAGACTGTTGTGGAGTTTTATATTCTACGTGTGAAATTTCGTGACATTGTCATGGAATTTAAACTTTCTATCCCAGCAGATTCAGAATTTGCACCTTACGAGTTAGGTATAGCATTGAACCCAATGTTTATTTGAGTTCATGACTTCGAAATTTGATATTTATATAATGTTTAGTAAAAAAATTTACACATATACAAGGACGAAGCAAAAATTATTGAGTTTAACTGAACTCACAATTTATACTATAAAAATTTATTCCAAAAATAAAAATGTAAATTCTTTTTAAATTTCGATATGGTGAATATGTTGGTTCATTATTTAAAAAATAATTACAAGTTTGTGTATATTTGAACGAGAATACCTTTACCCAATTCTCTTTCTCCATATTTCAAGTAACTTCACAGTTTAACAAAGGAAAAATGCATAAATACCCCCCCCCCCCCCTCCCGACCTATATTCGGATTCCTAACTACACACTTTTTCTTTGCGAGAATCCTATTACCCCCCTAAACTTATTTTAAATGGAATTATTTGCAGCCTTAACGCTGACGTGGCAGAGTGTGTGTATTTCACTCTCCCAAAGGAGAGTGAGAAGCAAGAAAAAATGATTTCCAGATTATTTTTTATTCTTTTTTACCAGTTTTTCTTACTTTTTTTTTTTCCTTTTCCTTTTCCCTTTTCTTTGTCTTTTTCCTTTTACTTTTTTTTCGTTTCTTCTCTAGTTTCGGCGGATATTCATTCACCGGCGACTTTGTCTCACCGTTTTTCTTCCATTTTTTTTTCCACACACAAACTAAACTCTCAAACATATCTATTCATAAGTAAAGCAAAATACACTCAGATTTGGGGAAAAAAATTCATCATCGGAAAATCTTCCCAGGCCGGAAAAAAATAATGTAGTGACATTTTAACTGGAAAAAGTTTTTTCTCGGCTTATATTCGTTTTTATTTCTTTTGCTCTTCCTCCCACACATAAATTACACTTTCAAAAAAAATTTATATATATATATATAAAACAAAACACACTTAGATCGGGATAAAAATCTGTCGCTAGAAAAAAAGATTCGCCGGAAAAAATGGTGTTTGTGAAATTCCAACGACCACCATTTTATGGCGCCGGTGACCAAAACAAAAAGAAAGAGAATGAAATAACCAAAAAATGAGAATAACAAAAAAATAAGAAAAAAGGATAAGAAAAAGAAGAAAGAATTAAAAAAAAGTACTAAAAATACATGTGGGGGCGCGTTGTATTGGGGAAAATTTGTATTCATATATACATGATGACGTGTCCTGACACGTGGAATGGATAATGAGTTGTGATTTGCCACGGTTCAAGAGCTACAAACAGGTNTATATATATAAACAAAACACACTTAGATCGGGATAAAAATCAATCGCCGGAAAAAAATAAGCCGGAAAAAATGGTGTTTGTGAAATTCCGACGACCACCATTTTATGCCGTCGGTGACCAAAACAAAAAGAAAGAGAATGAAATAACCAAAAAATGAGAATAATAAAAAAATAAGAAAAAAGGATAAGAAAAAGAAGAAAGAATTAAAAAAAAGTACTAATACATGTGGGGGCGCGTGTAGCTAACCACTTGCCAAGTGTTTGGTTGTCTAGTTTTATGGTGGTATTTATTCCATTTAAAATAAGTTTAGGGGGGTAATATGATTCCCGCAAAGAAAAAGTGTGTAGTTGGGAATCCGGGTTTAGGTCAAGGGGATACTTATGCATTTTCTCTTTAACAAATAAATGTAGCCGCGGGTGGAAACTTGTAGAATGCAATTTAAGGGAAATTGCATAAGTCGCATTTAGGGTCTGGTTGAAAAGCCACCAGGTAATTAGAATTGGTGTAATTACTAGGGTATTAATTACACAGTTATGTAATTACGACGACCTGTTTGTTTGTCATAGTGTAGTTACAGCGTAATTACAAGTTTACTGTTTGATTGCACAAGTGTAATTACACAGTTAGACTAAATTTTAAATGAAGTAATTATCAAAACTTGAAAGTTAATATAATAAATATATGCCTATAAATTTTTGTAAGTATAAATGATATTATGTTTGGTATTTAAGATATATATTTTTTCGTGAATATGCATTAATTAGTAATCATATATTGTTGACCAAAAATAAAAAGTAGTCATATATTTATAACTAATATTGTAATAATAATTTATATATATATTTTTCAAATTAACAATATTTAGTTTAGATACTGACAAAAACTAAAAACGTACGTTTTGTCAGAACATCATTGAATTCATGTTTGAAAATAAAATAATATTTATAATTAAAATGTCATAACATTGTTCAAATGGTTGACAAAATTAATCTATCCTCTAACTAAAAAATGAACAACAACAATGTGAGCCAATACTACTAAAACAAGTAAATTGGAACCATGAATATAACACAATTTTAAATCCAAAGAAAAAAATAGTTAAGATATATCAAATTTCAACATAATAATAGTAAATTCCGCTCAGTCAACATTTATAGAAGGGAGAAGTATACTAGACAATGTTATTCTTGCTCATGAATTGGTAAAAGGATATAGCAAAAAAGGGATCTCACCTAGATGCATTATCAAAGTGGATATAAGAAAGGCCTATGACTCTGTTGAATGGTCTTTCTTACAAATGGTGCTGTTGGATTATGGGATTCCTACTAAGTTTGTGCAGTGGATTATGGAGTGTGTAACTAAGCAAACTATTCTATACTGATCAATGGTGGACTCACAAAAAGATTTCAAGCAAAGAAGGGATTGAGACAAGGGGATCCTATGTCCCCATACTTATTTGTCTTAGTGATGGAATATTTGAGCAGAACTTTGAAGAGTCTCAAGGATATTCCTGATTTCAATTTCCATCCAAGATGTGCAAAAATGAACCTCACTCACATCTATTTTGCAGATGATCTGATCATGTGTTGTAGAGCTGACAAGACCTCTATCCAACTACTACTAGACAAGTTCAACCATTTTTCAAAGGTGACAGGGCTCATGGCTAACTTAGATAAAAGCTCTATCTATGTAGCTGGAGTCAACCAGGGATTTAAAGAAATGATATGCTCAGACTTCCAATTCAAGATGGAGTCCTTGCCATTCAAGTACTTGGGAGTGCCTTTATCCTCAAGGAAACTATCTATTCAGCAGTGTATGCCATTAGTAGAGAAGATTACAAACAGAATAAAGTGCTGGACATCAAAGCTCCTATCATACAGTGGCAGACTACAATTGATAAGAAGTGTGTTGTTTGAAATGCATACATACTGGGGGCAGGTGTTTTTGATACCAAAGAAGATCATACAACTAGTGAACTCTGTCTGTAGAATTTTCCTATGGACAGGAAGTTATAGTCCTTCAAAGAGAGCTTTGATTTCCTGGGACAGAATATGCATGCCTGTATCAGCTGGAGGTTTAAATGTTATAAACTTTGAATGGTGGAATAAAGCAGCACTGTGTAAGCTAATGTGGGCAGTACACTCAAAGAAGGATGCTCTCTGGATCAAATGGATTCACTCAGTATATATAAAGAAGAAGGATTTCAATAGTATGCCGACTCCTAATCAAGCTTGCTGGTTGGTAGGGAAGATATTTGATATTAGAGACCGGTACATAAACATTGAATCCTTTGCAAATATAAACAAGTTTTGCAGAAGAGAAAAATTCAGTATTCAGAAGATGTACACTCTATCAAGACCCCAGTATCCAAAGGTTGGGTGGAAAGCCTTACTATTGGGTACAAGCATCCCTAGGCACAACTTTATACTATGGCTAGCTCTAAATCACAGACTTAATACTGTGGATAGATTAGCAGCATGGGGCATACAGGTCGACCTTGGAAGTCTCCTATGTAAGAATGGGCAAAATGAAACTATGACTCACTTGTACTTTGAATGTCAATACTCAAGAAGCATATGGGGCATTCTGCTTAATTGGATAGGAGAGAAACATCAGATTGGTTCATGGGAAGAGGAAGTCAAATGGCTGAGTGCAAGAACAAAAAACAGTCGAGCCTATGGTAGTATTCTGGCATTTCTGTTTGCAGCACTAATATACGACACTTGGATAGAAAGGAACATGCGTAGATTCCAGGGAAAGGAGACTGATATGACGAAGATGATACAAGACATTGTCCTTCAATTACACATCAAAGGACAGCAGAAGGCAAAATAGAAGAAGTACTTAGAAAGAATAAATAGCTTTCCTCTATGAAGTTTAGTCTAGTAGAGGAACTATTAAGTCTGTAAATATTCTTTTTTGATATAGTTATTTTGATGTTTTTTTGAGTCTAACTCTTTAGTCCAAAAGAGTTAGAGGTGCTGTAAATATCATTACTGGTTAAATAAAATTTGATATTTGACCAAAAAAAATAAATAGTAAATTCCACTACAACTTAAGATTAGGAAACATAATAAGCTTATAACCACATTCAACAACGAAATTTCACTTTAGTTGCATCACTCATTATATGCCAAGTTTGTTAATGACTCGTTATTTCTAATAATAAGAGGTGTAGTTTCAAAAAATAGAATAATAACTAAAATATAAGTAATTACATAGAATCACAAGAAGTAAAGGTAGAAAAATAAAAGATAAATAATGTACAAAGAAAAATATATTTTAAAATTTAAAAAAAAAGTAAAAATACAATTAAAAAAAATAGAAACAAAAAGTTATAAAGAAAATAAATTAAAATAAAAACAAAAAGGAAAGAAACTAAAAAAGCAACCTAATTATTTACCACCAATTCTCACCTGCCCTTGAGAACTGGAGAGTGTAACAACTCTCCAATTACACCAATTTCATACTGACCAAATAATTACATGGCCAAACAAACATGCCAAATTGTGTATTACACCCAATTACACTTAAATCAAATTGCTAGGTGACTTTCCAAACAGGGTATTAGTGGAAAAAAGTTTGGGGCATTTAAGAATTTATAAGTCGCATTTACCATACGCGACTTAGTAAAGAGTGCCGCAGCAAAACAACATACAGAGCTCCACTCTCAGTTTGCGACTTTCTGCTGCTCAAAGGATGATGAGAAGTAAACTCAGTAGCAAAATCAGCCATTTCTTGCGAAACCCTTTATTCTCCACACCTCTCCGTCACCATCGCCATCGTTTTCCAACAATACTACAACCAAAGCAAACCCTTCACAATCTTTGTAATGATTTGCAAAATGGTGTTCCTTTTAATAAACACATCTGGGTTTCAGCTCTTCGGTACTTGAGCACTAATTCTTCTGAAGAAATAACCCCAGAGAGAAATGGAAACGACCCACTTCACTGTAAGCTCTGTCGTTTCATTTTTTTGTGTTACTCTATTCAGTTCCTCATTAGGTGTTTGATATTCTGTTTATGTGGTGGTTTATATTCTGCGTTGTTATTTTTAATGTTGAGGTGATCCTTGCTTCTTATTTCAATGATGAAGATATCGTATATATGCGAAGCAATCCCTAAGTTAGTTTTTTTATTTTATTTTTATGACGGTGGTGTCAGCTTATGCACCTCAATTATTTTACCAGGTACCTGCTACCTACCACTAGCACAAGTAACGGATAACTCTGCCTACTTAGACTTAGACAGATAGAAAGAATTCACCTAGTGTTTTTTGACTCGCTGGGATTTGAACCTAAAACCTCGTTATTTTCTTCACACCTCATTGACCACTATGCCACACCCTTAGAGTTATATTGTTATGTTGGTGAACCAACAAATGAAAATGTTGATAAGTGAGGCTGAATTCAGTGGTGGAGCTTGGAATTTATATAAGGAGTTTCGAGAAAACAATAGAATGTGACAGTTAGGATTTGAACTTGTGACCTAAAGCAATTTTTGGACCCCCTTCCCTACTATACTAGAATTTTTCCTTATGTCAAGGGGATTCAATAGCTTATATATAACCAAAAACAAATTTTACCCTGTTTACGCGGTATAATTTGTCAACAAAGGGGATTAAGTTGAACCCCGTTCCCCCACCTGGTTCCGCCATTGAGATTGGCAGCAGTGGTAGTGTACCTCCACCAACAACTAGTAGATTGGAGGTTTGACTTGAAGTTAATTGGAAACATTATTCATTCCCTGGTGGGGCTAAAAGAACTCGCAATGTTCATTTACTCTGAGAAATATAAGGATGTTCGTTCTTTAATTGTTTCTTATTCTGCTTGGATTAAATTTAGTGAATTCTTGTCAAATTTGTCAACTTATATTCTCTCACACGGCCACACTTTGTGTGTTTATGTTTGAAGATGAAACAATTGCGGATGTAGACCCAATAGATTTATGGGAAGAAGAAGAAGAAGAGGATGCTGAGCCTGAGGTATAGGAACTTTTGGAGTTTTAGGATTCAATATTTTTTCTTAATTTTTTTTTTGTGTATATATATGTTCAATTTGATTTTAGCAGTTCAAACATTCAGATTGGTGATGGAGGTGATGGAGGTGGAATAGTTTTGCAAAATTGCCCTTGGGGCGAGCAGGCGTTATCCATTGCTCGTGATGTGCTGCTACAGTTCAGTGATGACATGGAGCTCTATGCATTCAAAACTAGTCCTCGTGGATACATCTATGTGAGATTAGACAAACTTCCAAATGAGTAAGTTGCTGCTTGCAATACAGGCTTCTTGGCTATATCATACGCTCCTCCGCATTTTCAGAAATGAAGTAGAGCATGTTTTCCCTCAATTCTTTGTTGCATTTGATCTTTAAAATTCTATTCTCTGGATTAGTCACAATCAAGTCAACCCTCTGTCCCATTTTATTTAACGAAGTTTGAATGGTCACATAAAAGCGATATTGGTGAGTTTGACTAGTATTATGTCACTATTGAATTGTTAAACAATAGTGACAATTCATTATGTCCTCTTTTGTTTGACTAGTATTATGTCACTATTGAATTGTCCCATTTTATTATGTCCTCTTTTGTTTTTGTTTTCCTTTTCCTTTTCCTTTTCCTGAGCCGAGGGTCGATTGGAAACAGCCTCTCTGCCCTTTCGGGTAGGGGTAAGGCCTGTGTACGTATTATCCTCCCCAGACCCCACCTTGTGGGACTATACTGGGTAGTTGTTGTTGTTGTTGTTGTTGAATTGTTAAACAAGTTCTTTTCGTTATAAAAGTGAGAATAGTGTAAAAGATTTTTGATTATGAAAGCATGTCAAACATTTTGGTTGTTCCAAACTAAAATGTGTGTTATATAACTTGTGATGGATAAGTAATTGGGCTAGACCTCTTAGTTATAGTTAGTTATGGGTCATGTATAACTATGAGAGTTCTTTTGATAACTATAGGTAGTTATAGGACCTCTTCCTTGCCTCAATTTCTTCTTCATTTTCCTTTCTTGCATCTTTCTTTCTATCCATAGCTTCGTGCAGATAGGACTTCATAAACGGAAAGTTGAGTGCATACTTTTAATAGTTTTCACTTGGTTATTGCACGGAATTCTTTTGATATCTGTTCCTGGTGGTAGTGTTAGTGTGTAACGTACTCTTTATATCAGATATGGCTGTCCAAGTATGGATGATATGGAAGAATTTAGCCGCCAATACAAGAAAAGGTTAGACGAAGCTGGTGCACTAGGGAAAATTCCTGATGATCTGGCACTTGAGGTAACTGTTAAAATTGTGGTTGTTTTCTCTTCTGTAGAAATTTGATAATGGTTTGGGAGTATTGATTTTTGAAATAATCATATCCTCTCCTTCCTGTGGTCCTAAGGTATCATCTCCTGGTGCTGAGCGGCTACTAAAAGTACCAGATGACTTATCCCGCTTCAAGGACATGCCTATGAGAGTTAGCTATATAGAAGAAATGAACTCTAGAAACCTCGAAAAGGACGGTGTATTCTTCTTAGAATCAGTTGATGCAGAATTTGGAAGCTGTGTGTGGAAGTTGGCAGATGTGAAGAAGAACAGAGATCCAGCGGCCAAAGGAAGGCCTCTAAGCCGTAAACAGAAAGATTGGAGGTTAAAACTGCCTTATGCAATGGTTAAGAGGGTAACGTTGTATCTTGATTATTGAATTATGTCTAATTGTTGTAGGACTCAAGATGTTGATGTATATGCTGTTGCTTTATAAACACTAAAGATTTTGACATAAAATTTTGATGATATTATCTGTGTCCCTGAAGGCTCCTAAGGGATCGTTTGGTATGCGGACTAAATTATCCCAGGACGATAATCCTAGAATTATAATCCCTGTACTAATTTATCCCACACGGGAGGTGCGATAATATAATCCCAAATTTGATAGGATAAATGAAATATCAAGACTGGGATTAAATTTATCCCACCTTATCCAGCTTACCAAACGACTTCTAAGTTCTTTATGACAATTCCTTTGGGTTAAGATACCACCCAGAATCTGATCAATGTGAAGAATAAGATATCTTTTGCTTGAGTTTTTTTTTTCTTCTTTTTTGAGTTTTTCCTTCTACACTACTTAACAGTGTCGTTGTCTATAGTATGCTATGGCTGTTTTCCTTCTCTATGTTTTTATTTGGGCAAGTTACATATTTGGCCGGTAAGCCAAAAATAATTACATTCGCTAGCTAAATATACAAGAAATATGTATGTCATAAATTAATATATAAAAAATATAGCGGCTATACTGTGTAGTTTTTCCTTCTTTTTTCTTATTTTCTTATTATTGCTTTACTATTCTTATTTTTAGTAATGCTTGTATTAATCACAAGAAAAATTATGAGAGAAAATTAAACTTCACACTCTCAAATGTTTGACCTTTTCAATTCTCCCTTCCATAGTTCCTGTAGAACTTATACTAGTAAGTTTTCGAGAACTGTATAAGTTTAGCCGCTCCTAAAAATAATAGCCGGCAAAATATATATTTTTTGTATATATGTGCATTATATACATATAATATACATATTTTGTACACTTTTTGACTAGTAAATGTAATTAGTTTCGGCTGACAGGCTAATTTTGTATTTTACCGTAAGTTGTTTTACGACTTGTACTAGCTCTACTAAAATAGTGTATTGGGCAAAATGGTTTGAAGGCTAAATTTGGTCCATGGATGATATGTTGAGATCAAACGTCTCTCAGTCAGTTGTTCAAAATATTTAGAAAATGAAGAACAGGAATTTGAAGGGAAAAAAAGGAAAAAGAAATCATACAGATAAAACAAAAAATCAAAATCAAAATCAAAGATAGAGGAAATG